AAATTTTTAAAGGCCCTTTTTTTTTTTTTTTTTTTTTTTTTTTTTTTTTCAGGTGTCTGTCTTGGATTAATGCAAACCTGTAAACTTACTTTTTTGTTTAATAATATCTTTTTCAGGAAATAAAAATGGGCTACTCTTGCCTCACACCACCACCGATCAAGGTAATTTGACTCATAATGTGTTCTGTTTTGTGGTTATCATTTATCTCGATCAAATAATAACGAAGTTATTCATGTGCATACATTATATATATATGTGTATATATATACATACATATATATATTGAGGTTGTGAAGAAGAATGACACATCACACATGCAGTGTTGCATACATGATAAACCGTTGTTCCATCTCCAAATTTACTTCGCAAAAAAAGTCAAGGAGGTATAGTTTTCTGTGGGGGAGAAATCTTAGTGGGAGTTCTGAGACATGCAAAGAAATCTTAGTGGGAGTTCTGAGACATGCAATAGCTCTAACTGATCTGCTATTGCATTTTTGTTTTTTCATTGTCAGTCTGGTTGCCCGGAACAGTAAACATATTCTTGATTTGGATGAGAAAATAAAATTAATAATTGTTACCTGGAATGCTATGTGCATCTGGATCATACTTTGGCTTCCTTGTTTATAACATCAATCTGTCCTTGATCAAAAGAATGGAATGTGTATGTGATTGGAGGTCTATGTTTTTGTATATACTGCTCACTTGATAGAAAAGAATAAATCTTGCCCTCCAGCTCAGATTGTGAAAAGGGTAACAAGTTTGTTTGCTGTTTGTAAATGTTGCCAATTTACTGTGTTATACCTTGTTCAGTTGTTTGCTAATAAAACCATGTGAAATTGCGAGTTAAATAGAATTTAGTGTGTATTTGAGCCACATTATTTTGAAAGAATGTATTTTGGAATAGTAGATTGATGGAGGATGTATGTTTAAAAAATGAGCAAAAATTTTGGATTTGTGTGTAATATTATTTTATTGAAGAATGTGTTGTTGAAATGATGTCAAATCACTGTTTAAGAATGTATTATCTTTTTAAAGAATGCGACTCAAACAGGGTCTTATTACAAGTTGGTTCAGTTATCTACTATTTCTAACAGTATGAATGCTCCATTTAGAGTGCGATTGACTTGGAAATACTTTAAATTATTGGCACTTCACTGACTAATACATTAAGACTATGCCCCTGATTATTCATTTTCATATTATTTAATTGTTATTATCATGTGCTGTTGTTATGGGCCAATAAATTTTATCATCTTGCAATGGTGAGTGATGTTATTTCCTGTAATGTAGAACTGCAACACTTGAGGAACAGTCTGCCAGATTCCGTTGTTGTTCAGCGCATTGAGGAGCGATTATCTGCTCTGGGGAACTGCATTGCATGCAATGATCACGTTGCTCTTACACACCCTGATCTGGACAAGGTAAACTCATTCGGTTATATATGTTTAAATTTCCTGTATTTTCTTTATTTAATAAAATCTCAAGTTGTAGTCAGTTTGTGTATGCTAATGCTGTTGGATGACCCTGGATGAAAACCCGTGTCTTTCTACCCAGTCACACACCACTTACCTGTACTAGTTTTCTAATCTTGTGCTTAACCCCGTGTTTTCTTCTCAGCCATGACTGGGTTTAAATCGAATGCAATATTTTGGAAGATCTCCGGAAAGACAAAGTTGATACTTGATATATCTTGTCTATTTTTGATGTTTGAAAGGGTTAATTTATCTACTATATACCTGTGAACTTCAGTTATTTTATCTAGCCTTTGCTTCTTATTGCACCATATTCTGTTCTTTTTACCTTTGGGGTTCATAATCGTCTTTTTCTATATTTTATTTGACCTTTAAGAATTGAATGTTTCAGCCCTTTTCTTGTTTTTTTCTGATCAATATATGTTTGGAATTCATTCCCTCTTACCGAAATTCTACTTTTTCTATCTAATCAAAGCCAAACTGTAATCTCAATCAGACATTCAAAATTACTACTCATTATTATCCACACATTTTGTAGTCCCCATTGTTATTCCTCCTAAAAAGTTACTAATAATCAATCCCGAACAGAGACATTATTGTGCTTTGACTCCTCTACTTTCAGTGTAGTTTTTAAATGAAAAAGGCACTCTCTGGCTAATTCAACCTTATACTGTTTTACCCTCTTCTTCCTGTGGAAAAGGACCTTATTACATTGCTTAGATAATCCGATACTTTCTATATCTGATATTTCTTGAGTCCTATCTTCTAACCTCTTCCAGGCTTTTGTTTTCATTTGTCTTTTAATATATGTATGATCTATGATTCATTTGCTTCTCTCTCCGGTTTTCGTTCATCATGGATGCACTGTGTTATGACTAGTTTTGTGCTATCAAGCAAGAGTTGGTTGGACATTATGTGGTCAACTGTCCTTACACATATTTTTCTACCCACACAGATTAATAAAATATATTGCCTTTTATGGGGTATGTATTGATCCTTCCTCTGACTTGAAAGACTTTCTTACTGACCACCATTATGATATATGTTCTGTTATATTCTTTTTGTCGAAGATTTTTGTCCAAACAGAAAATTATTTGCCTTTTATAATGGTTTCATTTGCATGGAATCTCCCTTTCAAGACTTCCCTCAGTACTTGAAGGATACCCGTATTATTTTGTCATCATGGTAAAATTTATTGCCTTTTGTGTTAGAAGCATTCTTTTACCTTGTGAGATCAGAATATTTACACTGGCAACTTCTAGTTATGTCTTAATGTCGTCAGCCTTTGCCTGGTAATATGAATTTCCTGATTGCTAAACTTGTAAGCAACTTGTTTGAAGCTTTCAGCAGCTCCAAAAGAAGAATCAAAACTCCTTTATACACAAGATTTGTTCTTTATCAGAATTTGTCAAAAGCAGCAGGGAAAAATAGTTGCTCTCCTCCTTTCTTTTTTTGCCTGCTTGCTCTTCTTTTGACAAAATAGTTGCTTTTGGTTTTTATTCTTGCCAGTGGTTTTATATACTAGTTGAAACTGTATTTTGGTATAATTGTTTTTCCATCGATTACATATTAATGAACAACATATATGTAGATTTTGTAAATCCATGCTAGATCTAAGCACTATTGACTTTCACACCTCTTACTATAAGCAGTTTTTGTGATTTGTATTTTGTACACTCCAGAATCAACGTCTTAGTTGTACATATAAAGTGTGAGTACAAATTAGATATTCTCTTCCACACTAAGTAAATTGTTCAGATAGGTGGTGGTGATATGCCTTCCGATTGAACATATTTCTTTTGAAACTCCATCCTCATCACTTATCACTACCATTGAAGAAAAGAAGACTACATGCTTATATACTGTGAAAGTTCACCACTTATAATGGTCTCATATGCTCGAACTTTTCGAAATAGTCAGAGTACCTGTGTCGGACACGACACGACATGGGTATGGATATGGGTATGGGTATGAGTATGGAATGTGTCGGATCTTCCAAGTTTCAACCGAACACTTCGTCGTTTTTCTTCTTCTTTCTTTTTCTTCTTTCTTTTTTTTAATCTTTTCATTTTCTTCTTTCCCGTTCCGCTCTCTATAAACCTAGCATCGCTGCTGAGAGAGTGGAGAAGGTAGTGACGCTAGGTTTTCCCTTCTTTTTTCTTCTTCTTTCCTTTGTCGTTCCATTTTCTTCTTTTTTTCCTTCTTTCCCTCTCTATATTGGTGGTTTAGATTTTGTTTGTATAAAATAAAAATAGTTTTCATATAATGCTATTTAGTGTTCCACTAAATCTAAATTGCAACCAAGTCCCTCATTTTCTATTTTGTATAACAATTAGTAATTCCTATAATTGGAAACTAAATCTTAAAATCTATTTTATTCGTTTTAACCCCTTATTCAATAATTGTTTCTTTCTTTATGAATAATTGATTTTGGTCTATTCAAAATACCGTCTTGGATTAGAAAAAATTGAAGTTTGAAAGACGTACTCATATACCCATATCTGAAATTTGGACTCTTTTTAGCCATGTCCCCGTATCCTACATTTTAGAAAATAAAAAATTCGACATTTAGATTCGTACCCATACCCGAGTCCGAGCATCATAGATAATTCGAACTCGAGGCACTTCCAGCTGGTTTTCTTGCCTCAACCTGTGCTCTCCATTTCTTCTTCTATTGGCTAAGAACTAATATAATTTCCATGAAATTTTATCTGTAAATGTTGGGCTGAGAAGATAGATCTATTCACAAGAAGGTGACACGTATAGTTGCTGTATCATGTGGATTGGTTGACACTGGTTATAAGAGTTAGGCAGGACCTAACGGATGTTCAACTTATTCTTTTCCATCCTTCTAATAAGGTGGGGATTTCTTGAATTTTTGGATAAACAAATTTCATTATGAGAGTTCTCTATTCTTTCTCATCAAGATTCTCAGATTTTGTTTCTGTACTTTTGGTTGAATTAGTAGCAGAGAAGTGAATCTGCATTTGTTATTTGATCAGGAAACTGAGGAGATGATTGCAGATGTTCTTGGGGTAGAAGTTTTCAGACAGACAGTTGCTGGTAATATACTTGTGGGTAGTTACTGTGCATTTTCTAACAGAGGTGGCTTGGTAAGAATTGTATCCTTCATTAAGAATTCCTTTGAATGAATATTGATTTTTTGTCCATTCATCATATATTGACAACTATGGTTGGTGCTGGCCCGATTGTCATAAACTTCTGGTTTTGGAACAGGTCCATCCTCATACATCTATAGAGGACTTGGATGAATTGTCGACCCTTCTTCAGGTTCCTTTGGTGGCTGGGACTGTGAATCGTGGAAGTGAAGTGATAGCCGCTGGCTTGACGGTCAATGACTGGACAGCATTTTGCGGATCAGACACAACTGCAACGGAATTATCAGTAATTGAGAGCGTCTTCAAGTTGAGAGAAGCTCAACCCAGTGCTCTCGTCGATGAGATGAGAAAATCATTGATTGACACCTATGTTTGAGTTTCATTTCAAGTTAAATGTGCGGATGTTTATACTGCACTTTTACTCTGGTTTTAATTAGTTTCCAGTTTTATGGAGAGATTTTCGATCTCTGTATTATGACATGCAAGTTAATATTTCCTGTATCCGTTGTCTTTGATGAAGTAACTTCCTTCTTCACTATGGTTAAGCATATTTTCCTTTTTCTCATGTTTATGTTCCCTTGGCAGTCATGATTTCTCTCATCTTTAGCAAATATCAAGTGCTTTCACCATTTCCTTTTTCTTTTACGAGTTCTCTTAACAGTATTTGGCTATTGGAAATTATGAGCTTGAACTAAAAAAAAATTCACGTGTGCCAGTGGAGTTTCGATTTCGACTGTTACTCTTTTATTGAACTTGAACTTCTTTCCTTTGATGAGAATGAATTTCATTTCAATAGAGATCTCTCAATCCAATGGAAAATGGAACCTTCAGAGCCATGGATTCTGTGCCTTATGCAGACTCCAAAATTCTTAAAAAGGCTAGAAAGAATTTTTGGAGGATCAAACAACAGAGAGCCTTAGAAGGCAACTTTGAATTTCATTGAACAAAGAAGCAATGAATAATTATGGATGACAAACTGATTTTTGTTCAATCTTTAAGCATCAAAATCAAAGCCCCAGCAAGATAAAGAAATTTGCCACAGGAAGACCATTCTGATCAAATTCATTTCCTTCTTATTGCAAATTGAGCCATTAAAGATTCTATTCTAGAATGCACAGTAACAGTTCCCTTTGGACAATGGGAATATGATGTTCAACAAAGTTCATTTATAAGAAAAAATAAGCCCTGAAGCTCTACCTTAATTCTGTTTATATGCTGCTTGAATCATTATCAAAATGCCGAAAAGGAAGTTTGAAAATGTTTACAATGTACTATCTTCGACTCTCTCTAAGATGAAGATATTTCCTTTGTCATCTCTCCCAATTCGCAAAGAATCGTCTACATATCTGAAATGATCAAATTAAGGAAGAAACAAGTTACTCCAGCACTTAAGACTAGTACCTTTAAAAGAAAATGTTGTACAAAGTTGGAAAAGGATACGTAATCTCGAGCCAGCCCTCCGGATTAAAAATGCAGAGAAGAAGATCGTAGTTTTTCCTGAATACATTCATCAACTATTGACATCGCCACATGCAAATAGACGACACAAAATTTAGAATTTTATGGAGGTATTTGGCTAGTATGAGGAAAAACTGATTAATTAATCGAGGTGATTTCTTTACCTGCTCCGGCGTGATCTCTGACTTAAGGTAACTGATATCAACTCTCTGTGCAGCGTTCAGAAGAAGCCTAAAATTGATTAGCCTTTGAAAGTACTTTGACATTCAAAATTCCGAAAAATAAATAGCATGTAATATTAACTGATTTTGAAGCAATCTTGAAGGAGGCCTCAATAGTTAGCAGCCCGTTGAACAGATTCAGACCTTTGGCGCTGAACTTGACTGCATTAACTGCTTTACCCTCCATTTGCCATCATAAAATGCTGGAAGTTAGTACAATTTACAGAAAAATGCATCTTTTTGTTCAAAAATTCTTTTAGACCTAGTTGGAATCTCTATACTGCTGAAAATGTTACTCTACCAGATGCTAATATCAAACGATTTCAAGAACAAAAACTTGTATCTTTTGGCTTGTCTATTTTGATAAATGCAAACTAAAATCAGGCAGAAAGTTAATTAGACAACTGCAATACCAAGATGAATCAAGAATTTATTTGGTCACAAGCTAATATTCCTGCTAAAGGTACATCTTCAAGCATATTCACCAGACCAGCATATATGTATTATACCATGGCCAGTGATGATATACGCATACCTCAACAACGTCAATAGACTGGACAAAATCTCCCAAAGAGATGAAATCTCTCAATCCGAGTTTCGTTCTTTTCGACCCCAGGATGGTAATGGTGCTATAAATAAGCTTCCAACTTCCAGAAACCTTGACCATTATAACACAAGTTTCAAAACCAATAAAAAATACCAACTTAATTTGCTACAATTTTACAACACCATTTAGAATCTGTTCTACCTTTTCTAAGCATGAAGTTGGTTCAGGATTTGGATTTTGAGATTCCAGTAGTTCAACCAATTTCAAAATCTCAGTTTTCTTTGCTGATGTGACTCCAAAAATGCCTCTATTGATGCCTACAATACATGTTCAAATGCGCCACATATCATAGCTCTTTAGTTGAATTCAATACAAAAATCCCATTTGGAATGGGATTAAATTAAACTTACCTTGTAATGCATCATAAAGGTCTCTTTTAATCTTGGCAGGTTCTTCTGGTATTATCTTTTCGTCAGCAACTAATTCAGAACTCTGTTCTGCTGCTTTAACGGAAGAATTGAGCCCAAATCTGATGCACTTCTTGTTCAATTGGTGAGTGGCCAAGAGTGCACCATGAAGTTTCATCATCTTTATGGCGCAGGGTTTTGAAGATAACACGTGTGAAGCTGGGATTGGAGGTTGTATAAAATATGTGGCCATCACTCGAACTAAATTGGTTTATGATCTCTTTGAAGATGAAGTTAAGAATCAATGCCAAAAGGCTCTATCTTCGTACTAATTTGTTAATCTTGACCAACTCCATGAGGTTCAGACAAGTGTCTTTCGGCGGCAGATTACACCCCACACGAGGGTTAGTACCATTCATACTGGATTGACTGAGGGACAGACACAAAAAGTTTACTGGGTTATATTTGACAGCTAAGTCAATAATTTCCTACTCATTATTTGTTCGTGCCTCATTTATTGGAAAAATATATTTTATACTAATGATTTTCTTACATGTAAAATTATTTTAGTTAATGAATGTGTGATAATAATAAATTTGAAAAAAAAAAGAGTTTTTAAAAGATAAGATTCAAAACAAGTTCGTTGTTATAAATCTTTGTTAAAATATTGTCTAACTTTTTAATTTGTCAAACTTTGATTTTCGCTGTATTTCATGAGACCATAATTTTTATCAACATTTAGCCTCCGTTTGGGCCCCATTAAATTTCATTTCATTATATTTCATTTTTTTCTCTCCTATTTTCAACCACATAATCTTCCATAAAATAATATTACACATAAATAAAAGACTTTTCCTCCTTTTTCAGTCATTCATTTTTCAAAAAAATACTATTACACTCATTTTCATTTCCATTTTGAAAAATACTATTACACTCATTTTCATTTCCAGAAAATGAAGGATAAATGGTTAACCACACATTTCTTCAACTCTCTGCCAAAAATATTATCCAAAACTTCGTCGAAAAACAGCGGGTAAAACTTTTGCCTTCACTTCCTGTCTCACCCCGTGAAACCCGAAACAAAACCAACCCATAGGATTTGTCAAACGAGGAAAAAAGAACTGGAAACAAGTCCTTCAAATTTGTAGGTTCAAATGATAGAAACTTATTCATAACAAACGATGTAATGTAACAATCTTACTAACATAGTTTTCGATAAGTTGGAATACGATAGACAATAAAATTATATGTTTTGGAGGTACATATGATCCAAACTATCCCGAGTTTTTTCCATCCTCATCTTATTTTAAGATGCTGCTTCAGATTTTTGCGACTCTTGTTGCTGTTTCCATTGCTCCGGAGTCGCAGCTTTCGATATGGAAAGAGCATGAATTTGATTCATCTCTTCCGACAATGCAGCATTTACCATTCGATGCCTCTCCAACAATCTTTTCCCTTCAAATTTTTCAGATACAATCTCAACTGTGAAACTTGCACCGCATCTGCAAATAAATTTCATTCCAGTTGAGGGAGAGATTTTGTGAATAATTTTCAAAAGTTCAGGTGAATATGTATACGTTCACGAACTTACCCCCCAGATGTGTCGATGACATCCTGAAATGCAAGACAGAAACAGAAAGTAAAGTTAATTAAAAGTAGAAGTTTATTTGAATTCAAGAATTCTTAAACATGTTAAATTATCAAATTCAAAGGATATACTTCCCATAAGCCGAAGAAAACATATACGAAAATATAAATTAGTTAAATCACTTAAAAAGGGGGTGTGGATAATTCTTAACAGCTTAGACTCAAATTATTTCTATTGCACCATGTCATGGAATCCATTCAGCTTCAGCAATTACTAAGAGCAAGAAAACAAGTTAAGGCTAACAATACACGAAAAGATGCTAAAGTTGTGTGGTGTTCTTGCCCTTCTAACTTAACCAACTGATAGTTTAATGCTATAAAAAAAAGAAAAGAAAAAATGATGCTAAAGTTGTGTGGTGTTCTTCTTGCCCTTCTAAAGTACGAAACTGATGGAAAAATGCATACTCAAATGAACTTTGATCGCAAGCGGAAATGGAGGAAAAAGAACTATAGAAGAAAGTAGCAAAAAGTATAAATCTCGGAAACTCCAGCCATAAAAGTTGATTGCTTTTGCACAAACTTTATACAAGACAAAAAAAAAAAAAAAAAAAAAAAAAAAAAAAAAAAAAAAAAAAAAATTTTAAAAAAAAAAAAAAAAAAAAATCTTTCTTGCTCAAATGAATATTTCTCCAAATTTTTTTTTTTTCAAAAAACTTTAAAAAAAAAAAAAAAAAAAAAAAAAAAAAAAAAAAAAAAAATCCTTTTCTTTAATCATTGCCTCAAGTAAAAAATATATATATGAATTCGTTTTGGTACTTGAGTATTTCAAGAATTTATATATAATCTGATAAGACCTTGGGTAAATTTTTTTTGGGGGTTGGCGTGGGAGGGCTACATGGATTCAATTATTTGCATACAAAATTTGAGGGGTAATCCTACAATAACAACCAAATTTGGAAAACCATCACCACCAAGATATCCCACAACTGATCCTAACTAGATCTACTCCATGCAAGGATTATGAACAAGCCGTTTAAATGTCAGACTTAGCAGGATAACCCAATGATTGTCTCCGTGATATAAATCATGTCTGTGAAGGATAGCTGGATCAATAGATTAACAAACAAATGAATGATTTGTTGCGAGAGGACACAAGTGCAGCGACTGATACTAAACTAAGAAGAAATCTCAATCACAGGCATTGAACAAGCAGTTTCTTGTAAAATTCGAACTTTTCTTTCCATTGTTAGTAAATTAGGTATTTTAGAAAACTCTTAATAAACAAAATGATACATTAGCCAGCATACTGTCATGGTTCTCGGGAAACTTATGGGGGGTTTAAATCCCAAGTCGGAATTATGGACTTCCTTTGTGTGGTTTATATAGACTAGGACTCTCCAACTTCAACGGGTAGCTTTTGAGGTATGAATCTCCCAAGTTCTATGACACATACCAGAAATATTCTTTCAAATCTGAAAGTCAATTCATTTCAATTGTCCAAATTAATTGTAATTATTCATATATTATCACAAAACGTTTAATTAACTGTTTTTTGTCAGAATATACAGCCGAATAAGCCTTTTTAAAACTTTAATAAGATAAAAATCGTATTTTTCTGATTAAATGAGCCAAAATAAGCGTTTTCATGAGCACAGCCGAGCCAACCCAATACACTCACTTATCAAAACGATGATTTAAAGGGTTTCTCAAATCTCAATCAAATTAGATAAATTGTACCACTTATTTAGTAGCAAAAATTAATATAAAATTTCATGGGAAGCAAAGTTAAAAGAAACAATGATTAACTACAAATCTAAAATTCGTCACTTCACTCTCCAAAAAGAAATAACAATTCGTCAATAATATGTTCAAATATTTTAATAACTTATACTAATTCAGTCCATACATACACAAAACCAAAACCAATTACCAGGATTACACAGAGTGTAGAATCTGCAAGCTATACACACACGAAATCACGCTCACACACATACATACATCGATACAGCCACACATACATCAGATGAAAGATGAATAAAAGAGGGCTTACAAGATGAGAAGGACTGAGCTTGGAATTTAGGGTTGACTCAACTTGCTCCTTCGTCACCCCCATCTCTGCGACTGCGTAGGTTCAATGTGTTTTCTCTATTTCTCTTCGAGTTTTTAAGATTGGTGCAATAAGCCAACGACAAATGAGAATCTCTTTTCCCATATTGGCTTTTCAAGATTCTACATGGGTGGGTCATAAAAAGAAGCCCAATTATCTCGAGAGCCCACAAAACGAACGATTCTCCCAATTCAAAAGTTAACGACATTTGTGGCCAAGAACGATTCTCCTGGTTCAAAAGTCAACGAATCACATTTGAGGCCCAAATCTTTTATAATATGCCCGGTTTGATTTAACTAAAAATCAGACTTTAGCATATTTTGATAGAAGTATATAATTTTTTTAGTTAAAAAGTTGATGAAAATTGTTAGTCCTATGAAAATTCGATTGAAAATAAGTTTCAGAAAAGAAAACAAAGGCCAAACACGAGAATATCTCAAAAAAGAGATTTTTGTGCCATTCATTCCCAACCTTTGAGCAAAGTAGCAAGCATCTCCAACACTTATTACGTCACAAACTAGTCCCAATATTTCATTAATTAGCAGAGTACAACACTCTTCACAATTTCCATCCCATTTAACCATTAAGATCGCGTAAGAAAAAAGGGGACAAATTGGTAATTGATGAAAGATTGGGAATAGACACGTTACTCTGGAGGCGATGAATGCTTTAATGAAGAAGGAGAAATCGGAATAATGAAGATTCATGCTTGTATGTCTCGGTCAACTATGTGATCTAAAATTTTGAAGCTTTAATTCAATTATCTCCTTTTTACTTCAAAATATGGGTTTGATTGATTACTTATTGTTGACACATAAAAATTCAGCCCAAGTCGAACAGTCCAAGGAGTAAAGCCCAATGGGAGAATCCCCAAAACAGACGGCCCAAAGAATGAAGTCCAATCAAACGAGTCAAGGTGAAGGCCCAAACAAGAGGCCCAAGAATGCGGTAATGCCATCGCCCAAGTTTGCAAGTCGCTCAGAATCTGAACGAACGAGTGTCATACGGTCGCCCAGAGCTGTTGTTCTACTCTCGCCCAAACCTTCAAGTCGCCCAAGGTGTCAATAAACATAACGCATCGTGATTATCAAGGAATGCAGTTATCAAGGCAGTTGTTAAAGTAGCCTTATCACGTTCCACAACTCAAGGAAGTCAATTGAAAGCAGTTGGACGATGAAAGATAATAGCAGCAGTTAAAAGGCGGTTTCATGACAAAATGGCCACTACAAAGAAAGTTGGTAGTTATAGGACGATCAAGCAGTTTTCAGAGTAGTTAATCACAAAGAGATCGTCTATGAGGTATAAAAGGGAGAAAAGGCGTAGAAGCAAGAGACCGAATCCAAAACTCTCGAACAAGAGAATATGTAATTTTCATTTCTTTAGCTTTTAGATTTAAATACTTTCCTTTCTGTAACTCGTGTGCTTGCGCCCCTTAAGAGCACGTTGTTTTTCGTTTCCAATTGTAAAGTTCATCACCAATAAAAG